TTTTAAATAAACGTAGAGCGTTCTGGGAAACAGACTCTGTGTGTGTCCTATTCCAAGCAGGTCTGGATTCCTGGTAGTATTGTTGTTGTCAACACGTAAAAAGGCGGCTGGTGGGAGATTCATTCAAAAGAGTGGAGCGTCGATGATGACCTTACCGGGATCGGGATCGGGATTGGGTTAAGGATCGGGAACAAGGAAAAGGAAAAAGAAGCATTCGGAAATTTCGGGGATAAAAGGAAATCAAAGGAAAAAAGCATCGGGGATTTAAAAAAAAGAAAAAAAAAGAAAAAAGAAAAGAAACAGCGAACAGGATCAGGGATTGAAAAGAAAGAAAAAAAAAAGAAAAAAAAAGAAAAGGGTTGAGACTCAGGATGGGGGATCAAGAAAAACAGAAAAAAATAAATAAAAAACAAATGGATCGAGGATCCGGCTGTGCAGATATTAAAAAAAAAAAAAAAAAGGACCAACATTTGCCACTTGAATGGATTTCTGTGAGACGGACATGTTTATGTACTGCTCGGATGTATCTGACCAAAATTGCGGATAGGTGGGTGGGTGGGTGGGTGGGTACGTGAGTGGGTGAGTGGTAAAGACTTAGCACATACTAACGGTTGGATTTCCTGCATGTAAAAAAAAAAAAAAAAAAAAAAGAAGAACGAACAGAGGATTTTCTGGATGTATCCGACCGAAATTGGGGCTTCTCCTGCATGCATTTGACTGCAATTACGTCCAGAGGAGATGAGTTAAAAATGTCCCAGTGTGAGCATGACCTAACAAGAACTTGATGGTGACTGGACTGAATGGTTTGGCTTTTTTTTTTTTTTTTTTTTTTTTTTTTTTTTTCTGACTGGAGTCAGTGCCCCCTTGCAGATTTACAGTGCACCTGCGGCATCGTGGAAGTGTATGAGAAATCGGAGGCTTCAGAACTGGGGTATGTATCTTTAGATCCATTATGTCTACACCCATGATTATCCTTACCTACATCCATATCCATAGTTATACCTATATCCATATCTATACCTATGAGAATACCTATAGAACTGGGGTCTATATCTATATCTATATCTATAATATCTATATATATATATCTATATATTTATATCTATATGTTTATATCTATATCTATATCTATGAGCATATCTATAGAACTGGGGTTTGGATGTCTACATCCATTATCCGATCCGTTAACTATATCTATAGATCTACATCCATATCTATATCTATGGGTGTATCTATATTCATACCTACCTGTATATATATTCACTATATTCATACTACATCTATGATCTATCCATTCTCCATATCTATATCCACATTCATAACTCTATATCCGTCTATCTATCTATCTATCTATCTATCTATCTATCTATCTATCTTATCTATCTATCTATCTATCTATAGCCTCCTGATGACTTGATGAAACTCCGGCGAAACAGTTTGTCACAGCCCCTTGTTTGCTGTCCTCTTCTCCCTCTCTGCCTACAGTTTACCGGGCAGGGCAGTTCTATTTTAAGCCACCAGTACCTTTCGCATATGTCGGCCGCGGGCATTGTGCGCTGGCCTGGCTGAAAATCAAGACTGCCCACCGATTCGATTTATCGGCGACGGCCGCCCTTCCGTTTCTGGCCAGCGCGTTACCCGGCGCACCTCTGAAAAAATAGTGCCCGCCGATCCAATTTATCGGCGACGGGCGCCCTTCCCTTTTGGAAAGGTACTGGTGGTTTAAACCATGCCTCCACCTCCAAAAGGGAAAGCACAAAAAATCCTCGAAGACTTTGAGCATTGGCTTTGGTCTGTGAACGGATTAGATCGATTATTATGGACTGATGACAAAGGACGATTCCGACAAGATACAGTGAAGAGTGTGCTTGATACCCAAGTCTTAGAGATAGGACGGGACGTGGTGGAGTATGCCAGGAGGCATACCAGCTGCCCAGAGTGTCCTCTAAAACGGCGGGAGAGATACACATATTACAAAATGGTTACCTGGGAGGATTAGGGATTAGGCATGGGCCTGTCATAAATAAGTTGTGTTCTCGCACTTACCAAAACAGCGTGCAGGACCATATATGGGAGCCCGATCGGAATTTGCGCACTCCTCGGTTGGAGTTGGGGGAAGGGCCTGTGATGTACACATTTATGAGGAGGGCTCTTCCACAAGAAGATGATGAAGCACCTATGTCCTCAGGGCAAAAAGATGAAGGCGTACAGCAGAATGGTAGGGAAAAGAACAGAAGTTATTCTGTGTTGTGGTTGGTAGAAGAGGCTTCGGCGACCAAACGGCCAAGGGAGGACATTGAGGGGTTCAGTCCAATGCACGGGAGGAGAGCTCCCAAGGGTCATGAACACATTCTATGTTTTATAGGTGTTGACGTACCTGATCGGCAATAGCAAGCCAGGGCAATACGAGTGTGAGAGAGAGAAAAGTCCCTTGAGGGGAGGTAAGGAGAGGGGTGTCTGATTTGCAATGTTGCAAGAGAGAGAACAAAGGTTGTGATGTGAAGCAATGACGAGGGAATCAATAGCAGAAGCAGAAGCAGCAGCAGCAGCAGCAGCAGCAGCAGCAGCAGCATCTTCATCGTCATCATCATCGTCATCGTCATCATCATCATCATCATCATCAGCAGCAGCAGCATCAGCAGCAGCATCAGCATCAGCATTAGCAGCATCAGCATCAGCAGCAGCATCAGCAGCAGCATCAGCATCAGCATCAGCACCAGCATCAGCATCAACAGCAGCAGCAGCAGCAGCAGCAGCAGCATAAGCAGCAGCAGCAGCAGCAAGGGGAGCAATAAAGTGGGCGAGATGGTAACCGAGACACCTGGACGACGAGAGTACGTACTGCAATGAGAGGAGAGAGTCAGGGTATCACGTGATGTCTGGATGAATAGGTGGGGTAAATGTGACCTGGTACAGACACTCAGTCCATTAATACAAAGCTCGAAAGCCAGTAAAAGGGCGGGGCCAGTAGATAGTGCAGCCGGATCTATCCACGAAGGTGGGCAGAAGGATTGTGCAAGTCCTCCGGGGCCTAGTTCTCCCACTCCCCAGTTGGCCAAGGCTGCGAGCTCTTGCAAGGAGGAGTGAGAAGAGGATGGAGAGGAAACTAGTGGTCGACAATTCTAGGTGTGACTGAGGAGCCGTTGCCCCACCGCCAATACATGAAGAAGCCAGAGTGGCCTTCGCACCCTTATTTGACTCTATTTCTCACCCGTGTTATTATTTCTTCTTATTTATAAATTCACTGAGAATGAGTTGAGTCAATTCTCATCTATGAATCATCCTTCGGCCTTAAATGTCAAATAAGGGAGACCTCTGCTTCCCATTGCCCCTTTTTGCCGCGCGATTCATATACGATGGCATGTCCAAGGACATCCTCGTGTGTCTCTCGATGCTGACGGCAGGATATGCTATAAGCATACCTTTCTTTGTTTTGGATGGATTACCATTTTAGGTGGTCTTCTGCCATCAGAGGGTCATAGGAGCATGGGTCACTTGTGCTACTCAGACAGTGGAAGTGCCGGATTCATCCGGCTCGGCCTGGCCCACACTTGAGCTGCATGCAAGCGTATTCAAATTGAGGAGCTAAGGATCAGTTAGGGGAGATGTACAAGACTGCAACCACATTCTTCAATGACATGCGCCAACATGGCAGCAACGGACTCTTGGTTACATGGGTTGTTGCTAGGATGCATTGGCCCTTTGCGGTGGAGAGGACCGAAACTAGTATAGCAGCTTGTGGAATAGGACAAGGATCTGCAACAAGATCCTAGATGCATCATGGAGAGCAGGGTCAAGCATCCCATGTACATGGTATCAAGGGTGCTGTACTTCTAAAAGGAGAAAATTTGCCGCATGTCTCCGATACACCTCGAGGGGTTGGAGAAGCAGATATAGATGACATAACTCACAAAAAAGAATTAGATTAGGTCTACATTAGTACTTCATCGTATGGCTCACTGGCGCTGTCTTGTCGAAGCAGGATGGTGGAATTCACATGTGCATCGACTACTGTGGATAATGGCACAGGTGTCGGTGGACATTGATGAGCTGTTGGGAAGACGGCGGGGCTGCAGAGTCTTCTCCAAGATTGACCTAGAATAATGGATATCATCAGATCGAGGTGTAGCCTGCAGACTAGCGCACAAGGTGATGTTTAGGACGAGATATGGCAGCTACGAGTTTGTTGTCATGCTGTCCGGGCTTTCTAAGTGAACCTCTAACATTTTAGAGCATGGTGAGTGATCTGCTTAGGGATTACGTGAAACGATTTGTGGTTGTTTACCTTGATGATATCCTTGTGTGTTCAGCTGTACTTACGAGTACACGAAGCATCTTGAGGCGATCTTCAAGCTGCATCGCGGAAGGAACATAGATAGATCCTGTATTAGTCATATCATCATAGATGTGCAATAACCCATGCCATATGTCTCGTGGAACTGAGGGCCATTAGAAGGCCTACCTGGCCGCCCTCAGCCAAGGCCAAACAAAGGCAGAAAAGGCCCTTGTCGAATTTAGGGCCTGGGCGTGTGACAGTTGAGTTTGGTCAGCTGTCGGTCCACCCAAGAGCCAAAGTCCAGAGGTACCTAGCCCAGGCCGCAGGTCAAGCACACACACTTGTTGTATGCAGGTACCCAGACAGCATCAGGTCCAAGGAGAAGTCTGCAACTGTACAATCCGGGCCTTGAGATGTGAGTCAATCTGGACGACTGGGGGAAAGGCACCCGAGGCCAGACAACCTCGACGACTGCTACTTAAGGCTGGCCTCGAGCGAGTCAAGCATTCAGTCTTGCTATGCTGCTATGACGTTGGCTCAACTTTCACAACGCTGGCTTCATGCTGGCTGTGCACACGCGTTGCGGACGACGGCACAAGGTGGAGGCGGCACGCTGGCTTCATGCTGACGTGGCACTGCCTCTGGTATATGTGGCGCTGCCTCTGGTCTACGTGGCATGCTGACGCGGCGCTGCCTCTGGTATATGTGGTGCTGCCTTTGGACTACGTGGCATGCTGACGTGGCGCTGCCTCTGGTCTACGTGGCATGTTGACGTGGTGCTGCCTCTGGTATATGTGGCGCTGCTCCTAGTATATGTGGCGCTGCTATTGGTCTACATTGTTGATGTGGCGTATGCCACATGTCTTGGTTGCTGACGTGGCATTGTCCACACTGTCTACATGAGGTGACTGGTTGCAAGGAAGAGGAAGATCGGGATCTGTGGATGTAGAGAATCGGGTACTCACCTCTGGCTGACGCCGTCACTGGAAATCTGTCGTGTCTTCAAAGTCTTCATGAGATAAAGTGCCACGTGGCACTATTGTATGTGACCAGGATTATTCTTATTATCATTGATGATGTAGTGTGGAAAGAAGCCTGGAGAAGGGGAGGGATCTGAAGAGTTCTATTCTCTCTTCCTCTCCTTTGTCTATTCTCCCTCCACACTCTTCTCTTGTTGGATAATGAGATACTGCTCGAGATATCACTTCACGATCTGGAGACTTTGAGACAGATATTGAAACTATTGTTGATTGACGTTTTCTGAGTACCTAACAGACTGGGTTCGTTGCAATTTGGTATCGGAGCAACTCTTCATCGCGATCTGTTGTCTGCTGCCAGGTGCTGACATGGCACCCAGGTAAGTGGGAGGTGCTGCGTGTGCAATATGAAACGCGTTTATTAACGCGCACGGTCATTCCGCAAGTCTAGACATTGTAATAGTGCACCTGCAAGCAACCGTCCCTTGAAGATGATGACGTAGCTGCATTGAAGATATCAGCGAGAGCTTCGTTGGCAATGTGCTGACGTGGCACTGGTATAGAGAGAGGGATTATTACCGCTGATGAGGCACATTGTTTAATTGATGTGCTGATATGGTTCGCCAGTGTTGAGATTATGATATGTCTGTGCTGTTGACGTGGCATCCCCCCTTGTAG